TTATTTTTGGTCTTTTTGAGACAGGGTCTCCCTGTAGCCCCAGCTGTCCTGGAACTCACTATGTAGACCAGGCTGGCCTTGAACTCACAGAGATCCGCCTTCCTCTGCCTCCAGAGTGCTGGGATTAAAGGTGTGTGCCACCTCACCCGGCTCTTCTGTATTTTTTAATATGTATCAGCAGCTTACCCTGTTAGGCTATGAATGAGGCCCTTGCCAGCAGAACTGTCCCTATATTTTCAGCACTTGAATACTCCCTGCCTCTCACAGTATACAGAGAATTTAGCATATACATACTCACAGGGAAGTGGACGCCTGTAGATGACAGGATCAATGCTACTGGGAGGGGGAGGGGTCCCTAGACAGCAGTCTGATTCTTGTGGTGTGGTCTGTCTTGGTTCCAGGTGCCAGAGGTGACCCAGGATTCCAAGGAGCTCAAGGGGAACCAGGAAGCCGGGGCCTACCAGGAGACCCGGGCCCCATAGGGCTCCCAGGCCTGTCCATTGGAGATGGAGGTAATAGAGTTTTGTGGCATCAGAAGGTACCTGGACTCAGGACATGAACCAGTGGCTGTTGCTGGCCATGTGGCTTTCCTGTGGTGCTATCCATCCCTCTCATGGAGTAGTCTCGGATCTGATGAGTTAAGAGACACATTCCAGATGAGTGGAACCTGGCACCTGCGGCGGTAACCACCAGCTGGATTAGATTATGAAGCTGATGAGTGACTGGCATGATCCCCTCCCTGAATGGAAGGGGGCAGGGATGTCGTCCAACGTTGTTGGAAAATGGTCATGATCCCAGGCCCCTGTGAGGGAGGCCGTGAAAGTTGACAAGTGATGAAGGATACCGAGGCTGTCCCTCTTCTGCTGTCAGCTAGACTGTGCCACCTACTGGCCCTGGAGGTCCCCTTTGACTGGAAGTTTGATCCAACCTTTAAATACCAGGACACTCACCTGTCGTGGATGCTTTTGGGTTTCAGATGAGAAGAGAGGCCTGCCAGGGGAGATGGGACCCAAAGGCTTCAAAGGAGAACAGGGCCTCCCTGCACGCTATCCTGGCCCGCCTGGAGCTGATGGAAAACCAGGACTCCAAGGTGTTCCTGGGCCCGCTGGCCTTCCTGGACCAGATGGTAAGTGAAGGGCATAGGCAGGTGTTCACCTAGAGCTCAACCAACCTGGGTGTCATCTAGGCTTTTCTAATGAATGGCTCTGAGCTGATCTAGTAGGTCAGTGAATAAGGGAGTGGTGGGTACTCCAGGATTCACACAGGAACTGTGACAGCAGCCGATGCCTCTAAGCCTACAGAGGATCAGTGATCCCATGACTCTTACCCAGTGAGCCATGGCTTCTGTGGCTTCAGTGGGACATCTGAGATGCTGTATCTGGAAGGAGCTGTGAGCTGAAATTGCTGCCCTGGGGTCCCTGAAGTCAGCTGAAGGTACTCCCCTCCAGTGGGAGCAGCGTGTCTCACTCCTTAACTCATAGTCCCTCTCCTCTGCCTCAACAATCTTGAGCATGTGATGACTGGTTTCTCTGCCTGTGCAGAGCCAAAGCCGCTGGAGACAGTAGTTGATGAGAAGAAGGCTGCAAAAAGAAGTGGTGGCCACTGACCAAGGCTAGATGGGACCAGTAGAGTCTGTACTTTAGACAGGGATGAGTGTGTGGCCAGCCTGTGCCCCAGGGTGATCCCTGAGTCAGCTGCAGTGTTCCCCAGGTCAGCCGGGGTGATGATCCCAGGTCAGCCGGGGTGATCCCCAGGTCAGCCAGGGTGATGATCCCTGTGTCTACTGGGAAGGTGACTGAGATCAGCTGGGGTGACATTTTCAGGTTACAACATTCTGTACTGACCTTCTGTTGAAAATGCTCTGTCCATTAAGGAAGGGCACGTGTGCCATTGCTTTGAGTTTGCCATCCAAAAAGGACATTCTCTGTAGCTGTAGTGTTCAGTTATACTTTAGATGTTGTAAAATTCCTCACAGGAACATTTCTTCCCCTGGAGAGATTGGACAAGGAGGCACTGAAAGGAATATGAGTTCATGCACTCTTTCTGGGTGACAGGGTCCCAAGAGTAGCCTCCTCTTCTTCCCAAAATAGTTTCCGTTCAACTGACATCACCTGCAACAGCTCTCCTAGAGTCCCCCTTCAGAGGGCAGAGCATCCTGTTTGCTAATGGTCAGTATTTGGTTTCAGTTACATTTCAAATCAGAGGTCCATGTTCTCTTGGCTTCAGGAGGTTCCTTCCTTTGCCATCTCCAGAAGGAAAGCTGTTGAGGTATTACCAGGATCTCTATGTGTTTCTTCCATTCAGAGAGCCACAGGTCACTTCTCTGCTTTTATTCCATAGTCTACAATAAATTTTAACTCAGTTATTCTACTTGCCCAATTTTCTTTCAACTGGAAAGAAATCACAGATTCTTATTCTTTAGAAAACTTAAAGTGTCAGTATCTTCCTGGATGATTTGAATCTTTAATGTTTTCTTTTATTCTGGAAGTAATATTCTTGATGTGAGTTATATTTGTTAATATCGACATGACCATAGCTGAATTTCTGTGAGCACATCTTTCCCGCATGAATAGCTTATATATGAATAGCTTATATATTTCTTTGTTTGGAACAGAATGTGTTAAAAGCATAAAAACATGTCACGAGTGAGGACTCACCCAGCCATGGTCTCGTAACTCCTTCCTAAGTCTATAAAGTCGCAAGCACAAACTATCTTCGTGTATAAATCTTGCTCACTAAATCTATAATTTATTGATTTACCAACACAAGTAAACTAATCTAGATAGCAATCTGATCTGGATTATAGGCTATTGGGGGAATTGTTCACTAGATGAACTAGTACAAGATAAAGTTTATCAGCTAAAGATTTTAGAGCATCTAGCTTAAACTCCCCCTTTAGATGTCAGAGACACATTGTTACCAAGCCATCTGCTTTTCTAGCAACCTCTTAAGCAAAAAGTAGCCAACTGTTGGCTTTTAAAGATGTGTATTGTAATTTAGTATGAGTGGTCTTAATTCCCACTGAGTTCAACCTTTTCTCTAGAGTGAAACTTTTGGAATCTTTTCTCCATAGCTGCATTTCAACCTGGAAACCAGAACGCTTAGTCTTTTGCAGTAAAGAACAAGCCTTGAAGGTCACTGTGCTTCTGGGTGAAATGCTCTGCGAACTGCCATTTTTAGTTCAGCTGACTCAGCTTTGGCTGCTCTGTTCAGCTGTGGAAAAGTCAGAAGTCAGCCTGGGCTGTCATAGCCATTGGCTTCTTCCTGAAAATCCTGCTGAGAAGTCACAGATGAATACCATGTCCCAAAGAACTTGTTTGAAATTATAAATGAATTAAAGAGGAAAGCAACCCAGGAGGTCACCTTCAGAAATCCCTATTACCTCCCTTCTTTGTCCTTGATGACAGGCCTCTGATTTTAAATGTCAAACTTCCTAAAGTCTGGATGGTTGAATTCCTCTACCTGTGACCCATGCTTCTTGCATCACCTGTCAGTAGGACTGGAAGGTATAAAATAGAGCCCAACCAGGAACTAAGAAGATCCTGGGGTGCCAGTCGAGGGGCACCTCTGTCTCCTCAGCCCTTCCAGTAGTATGAGAGGCATAGGGACACCCTCCTTCAGAGCTTCTCTTATCTCCCCTCCACGTGTCTGTCCATTGTCCTTATCTCTCTGGATGCTTTATCTCTGGATACTTTATAGGTGTCCTATAGGTGTTCTCTATCTCTTCTTCCTTCTGCTCTCCCCCTCCAGTAGCCAGTGGAGCCCCTTCAAGTTCCATCTGGCCTCTACTCTCTCTGCTCTGCCTGGGCAAACCCTCCAATGGGAATGTAGCCCAGTACATATGCAACCATTCCCTCTGTGCTCTGAGCTACAAACACAAAACTTCTCACTGGAAACAGCCAGTACCAGGTCTCAGGAACTCCTCAACATTGGAAAGCCCAATGTGGAGCTGTAAGTCTCTACTCTCTCACTCCCTTCCCTGCCCAACAAGTTCCCTGGTATCTGTGTCCCTCCCTGGCCCCAGAGCATGAGCCAGAATCCGGGAGGCTCTGGGAACCTCGTTCCTCAAGCTGAATCCACGGTGTATGGCTCAGCCTTCCTCCCTAAAGCTTCATGAGATAAAAACCCATGGGATAAAAAGCTTCACGGAATAAAAGCCCAGCAGGGTCACCTCCCTTCCCCTCATACCAACACCACCCCATGTTCCCTTCATGTGTTCTCCAGTCATAACTGTTTCCTAGAAAAGAGACATTTGGCCACTCTTGTTCCATTTCGGGATACTCCTTCTGTCCCCTGCCCAGCCAGCTCTCTCTGACAGTCCTTAGCTCATGTTATTTCCTCCAAAAGCCCTTTCCTGGCACCGTTCATTCTAAATGAGCTAGACTCCCTGTTGCTTCCCCTCAGCACCGGCTATAATCTGGAAATCCACGTTTGTTTGCTGAGCATGTTAATTGTGCCCCACGCCTCAGCTGTCAGCTCCAGGCAGGCTTGGTTCCCAGTGCCTAACACAGCTCCTGGCTTGCAGCCTGGCAGAGCTCAGGAACTGGATCATGGTGGATGAATGAGTGAGTGAGGCTGCGTTAACCGTGCAGTAGATCAAATTACACAGAACAATACTCGCTCACTTTTCCATAACACCTCTACTCCTAGAAGCTCTCCACTCGCCGCTTTACTGCCCTCCTCCAAGCACAGAGAAAATGCCTTTATAGTCAGTGTTTTCCTTTCCTTTTGCATCCTGTAGGGCTCAGTCCCTGCCACCCTCCGTGCTTTGTGGAACATGGAGCCACATGCATTGTAGCTTCTTTAGAGCTTTGTCTGTTCTATTTGTTGGAGCTATAAGCATTACTAGATTTAACAATGATGAGGCATGGTGGTTCACACCTGTAATCCCAGCACTTAGGAGGCTGAGGCAGGAGGAGCATCGTGAGTTCGAGGCCAGCCTTGGCTACCAAGTGAGAGTGAGGAGCAGAGGAATCAGAGATGATGGCTCCATTCTCAGCTGTGCTCCTGGAGATGCAGCCCCATGTCTACCAGTAGGTGGCGACCTTTCAAGTTTTGCTGACCTTGAGATGTCTTATCTGGTCACCAATATTCCTGTGTGGAATTATTGGAGCACTGTAACAACAGTGATTGATACCTCTGATTAGACGAGGAAGATGGGGGTCAGGGTCATTCAGTGAGGCCAACCATGTTTAGTCCTGATTGTTCAGGAAGGTTCCCATTAATCACTAAACCCAGGCATACACGTGTCTGTGTGTGTGCCCGAAGGAGTGAAAGGGGAGGAGAAGGTCTGAGCACAGGTGTGTACCCATCACTTCCAAACAACACAGTAAATCTGCGTTTATCTTAATTCTGTTTTTCCCTTTGAGGTGAGGAAGAACAGGAATGTGTGGTCATCTTGAAATTCCAGTTACATGACTGAAAAGCTGACCCTTCCTTTGGACTCAGTGTTTCTCAGAAAGGATGACTTTTGTCTCTATACTTCAATAGAGAAACTAAGTTTCCAGGCTCAGATTTCTTTCCCACTGTGCAGGCTGAGGCCACAACCTTCCATGTTTCTGTCCTCAGAGGTATTGGTAGTGAAATTGGGGTTCAGGGACACTGGAGGGACTTGACTGAGAATCTTACTAGACTCTGGATGGCACCTCTCCTGTGTGCACACTAATGTTCTTACTGTGTTCTCGCTTAGGTTTCCTGTTTGGCCTTAAAGGATCAGAAGGAAGAGTGGGCTACCCTGGGCCTTCTGGTTTCCCAGGGGCTCGAGGGCAGAAAGGATGGAAAGGTGAGGAACACTGGAGTGGGGGTTATAGGCTATAACTTGGTCCCTGAGGCCACCTTGCAAGTAGGTTGATAATCTCCTATTCATTTATTTGAAAATGCAGGTGGAGTATGTCTGATCCAAAATTTGAAATGCTCTGAATTCTGAAACTTTCTGAATACCAATCTGACACAACAGGTAGAAAATTACACACCTGGCATCACATGACAGGTTACAGTCAAAACACAGCTGCTGGACTGGAGAGATGGCTCAGTGGTTAAGAGCACTGACTGGTCTTGCAGAAGACCTGAGTTTGGTTCCCAGCACCACATGGTGGCTAACAGGCATCTATAACTCCAGTTCCAGGGGCTCCAGCACCCTCCTCTGGCCTCTGTGGGCATTGCATATGTGCATGCAGGCAAAACAGTCAATACACATAAAATAAAAAATATATAAATTTTTTAAAAAGCACAGCTGCACCAAAACTACTGGATAAAGTCAACCTCAGGCTGTGAAAGATTATATGAAACCCTCATTTCATGACATGAGTCCTCTCCCAAGACACCCCATCCTGTACATGCAGACATTTCAAAATAAAAGAACCTGAAGCATTTCTGACCACAGCATTTCAGATGAAGAATGCTCAATATTTAAGAGTCACTCTACATGTCGTCATAGCCTCTTGGCTCAACAGTTGTAATGCCAACCGGCTGGTGGAAGAAATGGACTCTGTTGTCAACTGGCTCCCCTGCCCTATCCTCCGTTTTCTTCTTCATCATTGAATCTTCAAGCAGCACAGAACTGAGTACTGAGTGAGGTTTAAAAGAGCTTGTTCCTGAGACTGAGTTCCCATGATCATCCCTAAAGGGGACACAGTGACATGATATTATAACCTATGTGCACATGTACAGAGCTCTGTCCCTGGCTGCATGTTCTACAGCAGGCCCCTGTCCCGTCCTGCCCAGACTCAGTGTGCTGCACTGGGACTTGCAGACCCTCACTTCCGTGTCTTCACCCTACCCACTGTACCAGGGACTGCTGCCTGGCTCCAGGCATCCTTCCAGGGGAGGGCTGGCCTGGGGCTCTATGAGGCTGTCATTCAGCTCCCACTCCTGAACATGGACAGCGCATCCTGGCACTAAGACCCACACTGACCTTCTGACACACACTGGGTGTGGGAAGTTTGGCAGCATTGGGGGCCCCTAGCGGTGGGCATGACCCAAGAGAAGCTACAGGAATCAGATGGCCCTGAAGGTGTGTGGTACTCCCATAGATGAGCTGTGTAGCTTGGCCCAATGTGCATCCCCTGTACCCTGAGAAAGGTGACCCCATGATCAGCATGGTATCCCTGGGTCTCACCATAACAAGACAGAAAAATAGAGCTCATACTGGCCAACCTGGCTTTCAGGACTATGGTTCTTACCAGGCCACCTCTTCCCTGGCTCCTGTCACAGTTCCTCCCTTGTCCCTTAGGCACAGTAGCAACCTTGCAGCTCCAGCCCTGACTTCCTTTCACTTGAAGTCCTCTTGGCTCTGCTTATTCCTCTATAAAGAGGCCCAGTTTTAAGTATCATCAGAGTAGAATCATGAACTCCCTTAAACCTTTGAGTGAGACTTGTAACCAGTCTCAACTTGCTCATCCAGGAAATGGATGTAGCAGTCCCCACAAGAACAGAGTGTTCATAAAATGCCCAACAATGCCTAGCCCAAGGGTCTCTTTTCACCAGCTCTCCTCACCTGTCTGCAGTCTAAGCCCAGGTTAAAAGCATGATCCCTCTCCTGCTTACTACAGGTGAAGCTGGAGACTGCAAATGTGATCAGTTCATCAGGGGTCTTCCGGGACTGCAAGGAGCCAAGGGCTTTCCTGGTGTCATTGGGGAGCTGGGGAAGAAAGGGGACCAAGGAGAACCCGGCCAGCATGGTATCCCTGGGTTCCCAGGATTCAAGGTGAGAGAACAGCGGCCCCTGGTGGCCAGTGTCATCTTGCAGCAGACAAATGCCGGGGCTGGCCAGGCATGCTGTGCACTCCAGCACCCCAGGGTACAGAAGTACTTTCTTAAAAGCTACCTGCTTCGAGCTGGGCGTGGTGGCACACACCTGTAATCCCAGCACTCAGGAGGCAGATGCAGGCCGATCTTTCTGAGTTTGAGGCCATCCTGGTCTACAAAATGAGTTCCAGGCCAGCTGGGGCTACAGGAAGACCCTGTCTCAAAAAGACAAAAAAAAAAAAGCCACCTGATCCAAGTTGAATCTCAAAGACTTACCAGTGGGACTGATATGGTGCAGCCAACTGTGGAAGGTAGTCCCTAGCTGGGTAGGCACAGTTTGACATGGGATGACCAAGAGAACAGAGGTTCCACTCAGGTAGATACCCAAGTGAGGGGCAAACCCAGGTCTGCACGAATACATGTGCACCAATGTGCAGACTGGCATTGTCCCTAAGAGTCAAAAAAGTAAGAACAGCCCAAATGCCCATTGTCTTCTGGGTTGGAGAACCAAATGCACTCCCTCCATGGAGTGTCATGCCCCCCAGGGGTGGAACACTCACCACACTGGTAGAAATGCATCTAGGACACTATACTGCAGAAAGAAAAGTGCCTCAGAACTCCGTTCATATGAAATGTCCAGGAGAGCTGTGTCTATAGTCAGGCAGTAGATGGCTGGTAACCATAGGCCACACTCAGCGACAAGGGAACAGCTGTTTAAAATTAATTAGGATTTCTTTTTAGCCTGATAAAAATATTCTGCAGTTAGACCATAATCATGGCTGCACAACATTATGGAAATACTAGAAGACACTGAGTTTTGTGGTCCTCAAAAGTGAATTCTGCAGTGTAAATTACATTTCACTGAAAGATCTGTCACTGTGAATGGAAAAACCATATTGCTTATCAAGCATTCTTGCAATTAAAACTGATTTAGCATTTTGTTATTTTGTTTATGTATGTATATATATATATATATATATATATATATATGGTGTGTGTGTGTGTGTTTGTATGTGCGTGTGCATGCATGTGTGCCATGTGTAGGCCACAGCTCAGATGCTCAGATGTTATGGTCAAAGAACAACTTGGAATCATTTCTCTCTTGCCACCATATGGGCCCCAGGGACAGAACACAGGTTGCAAGTGCCTTGACCCACTGAGCTATCTTGCTGGCTGTGATTTAGCATCTTATGAAAGTTTTCTCTACTCAGTGGCCAGCAAGACTCCAAGGTAATTATGTGCTTTGCAGGACTATGTGAGATCCCCTTCCCATAGATTCCCAGGCACATCAGCTAAGCTGACTGCATTTCATGCCTTATAGAAAGATTACCTGGTATACATCTTTCTCCACAGAAGGTTTTATTTTAACTAACCAAAGCTATCAAGGCAAATTTCAAATGTAGTCAAAGGATTTATACTTTTTTTAAAAACTTTAAAAGAGAACTACGGGAAATTAAACAAAAAGTTCATCTTTTTTTTTTAGACAGGGCCTCACCATGTCAGGCAGGCTGGCCTCCAACTCCTGGCAATCATCCTGTTTTAGCCTCCCAGGAACTAGAATTACGGAATGACAGGCATGTACCTCCATGCCTGGTATCTATCATTTATCTTTGCAGCTATAGAGAAAATCTCTTGGGGTACCTTTGGGTATTTGAATAATTTTAATAATCTGATTCTATATCATCATGAAAGAGAATTGCAGCCAAACAAAAATAGTAGCTGCTGTTTCGTCCCAGCTTAAAAGACTATGTCAAGGTGTAGTGGCATGGCTCTATAACCTCAGTACTTGGGAAGCAGAGTCAGAGGATCATAAATATGGGGCCAGCCTAGACTATGTAAACAAGACTCTGTCTCAAAAAAGAAAAACAGACAATACTCCTCTAAGTCACGGCTGTGTAAACAATAGGTGTTGCTGAAGTGTTCAGGAAAGAGCATGTAGTAAGCTGTATGCTCTCTCTGGGAAAATCAAGTTGGCTTTTCAGCTGACTCATTCCTAGAAGCCAAATGGATCCCATTTGGTATTGCTGAAACCTGTAAATCATCCAAGTGTGCCTGATTTCCATCTGTGTATACACACACCCACAGGGCTTTTCTCCAGCCACCTCTGGTTGTGTTTGTCATCCTGACTTTAATTATATGTCTGTGTGTGTGGCTACCCTGTATAATAGGAATCCCTGGGATGGTTTTTGTTTGGTGTGTGTGTGTGTGTGTGTGTGTGTGTGATTGTGACTAGGTGATTAGTTGACTGATTGGATAGATGGATAGATGCATGGATAGTTGATTGGCTGGATGACTGATAGGAATGCTTGGGATAGTGTTCTGTGATTGTGGCTGATTAGCTGACTGATTGACTGATGAATGAACGAATGAATGGATGGATGATTAATTGGTTAGGATAGTTGGTTTCTTTTTAGTATTTGTACTAATAGAGTCTGGCAGAGTGCTTGAAGCACAGGAGTCAATCAGTAAATACCTGCTGAGCACCATCTGTGCCAGACGTTGTTCTAGATACTTGAAAAAGAACTAAATTAATAAATCAAGTTTCTGTGGAATTGTCTAGGGCAAGAGAGTTCACAAGCACTTGTTACATTCCGTTTAGTTAAACCAGCACCCAGAGTTCCCATATTCTTGCGAATATCATCAACTAAGACATGCCACAGAGTCACACCTCTCACATGAAATACCGTCCTGAACCACTTTTGCCCACTGGGGGAGCTACACTCACAGCCTATGGCCTGAGAGTCCCTGCAGGAAGCTGCTCTCTGGGGTGTGCTTTTTTTCTCAGCTTCTGCCTTGCTTTGCAAAAGAAGCTGTTGCTCTTCTTAGTAGCAAATGATCACATCTAAACAGCAGGTGATCATTTCTATCCTTTGGACCAGGAGACTGATTTCTGGCTTGGATTCTAGGCATTGTAGTTAAGGATTAAGAAGCCTTGTGTTTTAGGTCAATGCTTCTCAGTTATTGGATCTAAGAGTCCTTGGGATCTGTTTAAGATACAGACCACAATTCAGCTGTCTCAGAGCAGGATCTGAGCACCCAATACTGAGGATATATCATACATCATCTCTGAGTATCAGGAGTCTGGGTTTTCACTGTCTAACAACCTAGGGCTATTTTCATTTCTTAAAACTAAGTTTCACAGTTTTACTACCGACAGTTCTAAGCAAACCATTGGGATAGTCACTGCAGCTAGTGGCCACCCACCGAAAACCCAGCCACAGTATTTGATCCTTGTGGAAAGTTCTTTCAAGCAAGCAATTTCCCATAAACTGTGTGCACTGAAGAATCATTCTCTCCAAGATCCTTCAGTAATCTAGAGGAAGAGACATCTGTGTGTTTCTGTCCACAGGGAGCTCCTGGCCTCATTGGAATTCCTGGACCCAAGGGAATAAAGGGAGACTCTCGGACGATCACCACCAAAGGTCAGTTCTCAGAAAACTTCTTCAATCACTTAATTCTCTGTGGTTCACTGTATGGAGAGTCATGTACAAATATTTCCCAGGTGAGAGAGGACAGCCAGGTGTCCCTGGAGTACATGGGATGAAAGGTGATGACGGCATCCCAGGGCGTGATGGGCTTGATGGATTCCCTGGCCTTCCTGGTCCTCCGGTAAGTACCCTCCAATGGTGGGGCCAGCCCAGCTCACTCATTGAGACCTCCATGTTCTTTAGACATCTGAGGAGTGCATGGCCTTGGCCTTGGCACTCAACACAGTGCTCAGGACAGGCCAGTTCTATTTTAGTGAGAAGACATGGATGCCAAACTCAGGATATGCTTCAAAGTCAGAGAGCAGAGAAATAATCCTTACATTCTAATATGCAGTAAGACCCACTTCTGTCAGGAGCAGGTCTTCTGTCTGTTCCCAGAGCAGCTCTCAGAGGGACAGGCTTCCTCAGCATTCACACGCCTTCCCTGTTTGCAAATGTTCACCTGCAGAAAACCCATTGGCATGCCACCTAAGTTTAGGGTACCTGTTCCATGATCTCTGTAGCAGCCCTCACATGGGAAGTCCTGCACCATTAGCCATGGTAGAGAGGCTAAAACATGGACATTGGTGTGCTTTGAGGGTCTTACAAACAGAGCGAGAGCTTTGCCCGGTGACCTTCCCACGACATGTCTTACCCGTGAACATAAGGGAAAAAGTATTGTCATGGGCAGTGTGACTTTGCATCAGCTCCTAACCATCATCAGAATTCTTCCCTTCACCCATGGCTCTGCAGGCAGACTGGGGCACATTGCCAACTCATTTATTTATACACAGTACTGAAACTGGGACCTTGCTGTGTACTATGTGAGCATCACCCCTCCCCACTGCCCAGAACTCACCACCTCCCTCCCTTTGTCCCTCCACTGCCTGCCTTAGTTCTGTGAACACAGGGCATGGCACTGATGGGACCCCCCCAACCTCTCATTTTGATCCTCCAGTCTCTCCTTCTTCTTCAAGAACACAGCTTTCTTATCTAACTAGCTCCTGTTTCCTCTAATTTGACATGCTGTCCCTCATGAATAGCATGTAACACACACTAATCCTAATGGGATAGAGGAGTCCCTGTGCCTATGGTTGCCTCCCATGTCTCACCTGTTGGGGTACAGAATACTTTCCAGTTAGAAGAGGAATTAGCAGCTGGTAGAGAAAAGTGAATACCCAAATAGGAACATGTGTCCCCTAGAACTGTCTGTCCTCCATTGTGGTGTTCTTCAATGCTTTTATAAAATCTAACCTTGACCCTTATGACCTGCTTAAATTGTGATGGTAGGATCAATTCCTCCCAGCTGTCCTTTTGTTCGTGATCCACAGTATAAAATTCCAGGGAAATGGGAAAGGGAAACTGGGAAGCCACAGCTGGCTCTAATGTCTATATGCAGTTGAAGAGATAACCTGGATTCTCTCACAGGGCGATGGCATCAAAGGCCTTCCAGGTGATGCAGGTTACCCTGGCATACCCGGAACCAAGGGTTTTCCAGGAGAAGTGGGTCCCCCAGGACTGGGCTTACCAGGCCCGAAAGGAGAGCGTGGTTTCCCTGGAGATGCTGGATTGCCAGGACCGCCAGGCCGTCCCGGTCTTCCAGGTCCCCCGGGTACCCCAGGACAAATAGGTATGAAGGAGTCTTTCCATCATCCTCCTGAGTCTTGGGACAGCTAGTGTGTCTGTGCCCCCTACCCCTCTGTGCCAATGCATGTGTCTCCAAGGCACCAGACAGGGACATACTGCGGGTCTGTTGGCAGCACATGGAACAGAAGCTCACCATGGGCTTCCTGGACCCACCACCTGCTCTGCTAGGCAGCTGAAATGTGGATCCTCCTCATTGGGCCTATGAGGTCGGAAGTGGACCTTCCGATTATTTGATCACACCCCACCTCTGCTGCACACACGAACGTATGTGCATACCCATGGGTAAATTAGTGACTTACTGATTCTAGTCTTGCCACCCTCTTTGTGTCTCTCCAGATTGTGACACTGGTGTGAAAAGGCCCATTGGAGATGGCCAGCAAGAAGCTATCCAACCAGGTACAGTGACAGAGACAGGTGGCTCCAGACTGCTTTACCACCCCTGATAAAATATGTTACTCACGGCAAGCTCGTGTGTCAGGCATACGTGGAAAATAGCCATGTATGTGAAGCCTGGAATGGTCTATGTCTGCTTCAGCTGAGCATCAAAGGAAGGGCAGACATGATAAAACAGTGTCATCAAGTAATGCCCAGAACTGAGCACATATCTGCCTCCACTTCCGGTGCTGGCGAGAACGCACAGACAACCTCTTATTTAGGACTTACTCGTATCTTCACTTCCCTATAACAACTGAGAAGAACGCCTGTGAATTGTTTGCTTATTATTCAGGGTAAAGAGAGAGATAAGCCATGTGTCAGAAAGAATCTGTCCTGGGCATGGTAGTACCCAGCTCTCATCTAGCACTGGGGGAGGGGGCTTAGGAAAGCAATCTCAAATTCAAGGCCAGCCTAGGCTATGTAGTAGGACCCTGTCACACACTCACACACACACACACACACACACACACACACACACACACAAACTACATAAGAAGAAACTGGTACAGCAGTAAATGAGTGCTAGAAATGACAGGCAAGATGGCTCTGGGAGTATCTCAGCATGGGGTTTTGGGCGGGAAGTTGCTACAAAGGAAACTTACAGACAGAGACCAAGCCCCAGCTGGTGCCGGTGGGTCAGAAACTGCTGGTGGACCTAGGCTTAAAGACCGTAAGGCTACATCATTATTCTGGAGGAATGAGGGTGACAAAGCCATTGTTAGGAAGGAGGCTGTGATCAGGGACTGTCTCAGAGCCTAGGGTCTTGAAGACACATCCACTCCAAGCCATGCCAAGGATGCATGCAAGCTGGTGAGTTGTAGATAAGACAGTGGAGTGAAGGCAACATTGCAAAACTCAAGCTTTACATGGCACCTGAAGGCGTTGTAGACCACAGCATGGTGCCTGGTGGGAAAACTGGCCTGGCTAGCTCTGTTTTCTGGAACATTCTGAACGAAAAACCAGTCTGCAGTGAACAGATCACCCTGAGCTTCCACAGCACTGGCAGAGTGATCTGCAAACTACATTGTGGGTGACAAGCTGAAAGGAACAGAGGCCTGGCTGACGCTCTCTTGCAGGAAGTCCTTTCCTACCGGAGAGCACCAGGGCCTCCAAGTCAAGCTATAGGAGCCTGGCCTGTGTGCTCAAGCAGACAGACAAAAAGCATCCCAAGAATAGCTATGCAGGACAGATTTCTTAGTAAAGGACACACAACAAAGAAGCCAGCTGAACGCCACGGAATGTCACTGTCTTAGGCCAGCCAGCCACGAGCATCTGCAGCCCTGGTTTGGGGGGGGGTTGTGTTTTTTGTGGGGTTTTTTTGTTTATGTTTTTGTTTTTTTGAGATAGGGTCTCCCTATAGCCCCAGCTGGCCTAGAATTCACTATGTAGACCAGGCTGGCCTTGAACTCACAGAGGTCTGCCTGCCTCTACCTCCTGAGTGCTGAGATTAAAGGCGTGCACCACCACACCCGGATAACTCTGAGAGATTTAAATTCATGCAGAAGCCAAAGAATTCCGTTGGAGATCACAAAGTATATTCATCTTCTGATAGATTGTTCAGATGGAAAGTGTCCCCCTAGACCTCTGAGAACCCACGTTCATTTGGTTGGGTTGGAGCTATTCTCTTCTGTGAAGAAATAGTGTTTGTCAGTGCAATACTAGCTTTTATTTGACTGACTTCATTTGCATTTAATATTAATATTCTGACTTCATTCCATTACAACTAAACTTTTATGTACATCAGAGCCAGGATTAATTAAATCATTAAGTTACTCTGGAAATAAATGGTGGCCAATCTGCCTGACTGCTTCCAATCTCAGTGGTACTCAGGCCATGATCCTTAGTGCTGACAATTGCTCAGCTCACCAGCCCTTCCTCTCTCTCTCCAGGTTGCATTGGAGGCCCTCCAGGATTACCCGGACAGCCAGGCCCCCCAGGCCCCACAGGTAATGTGCAGCCGTCATGTTACCGTCTCAGAGTTTGGTTCCCCTCTTGGGTCTCCTTACCTCTAGTCCTGCTCACTCTTGGACACAGTGGGATTCTGCTGTACTCAAACAGCCACCAACTGTGGTCACTTCCCAGGGAAGCCGACTCATGCTGCAGGAGAATGTGTGCAGCAACACACATCCAGCTGAACCCCAGGCTAAAAGAGAAACTCCCACCATAGAGGAGTCTATGCTATGGCCTGGAGGGCACATAGGGAGAGCTGTCCTATAAGCCTAACAGTGCTGCTTTGGGCTAGAATCCCCCAGCCTCATCCTCTCCAGGTTTTATGATTGACATTATTGGTTCACAGTGAAGCTGAATCCTGCCCCATTTGTCCTCCTGGGACTGACATGGTTGTGATTTCCTTGGATGCTTAGGTTTCAAAGGCCTCAGGGGAACACCAGGATTCCCAGGAGCTGATGGAGCACCAGGCCTCAAGGGCTTCCCTGGAGACCCAGGTCGCGAAGGCTTCCCAGGACCCCCAGGTGAGTTAAGATGATCCCTCCATGCCCTTAGGTTTAGGGAAGAGCCTATGTGTGTGATCAGGGCCACCCCAGTTCAGTTATCTCCCAGGATTTACAAGATATTCAAACAGATACTTGTTGATAACTATTGCCCTCATTCCTGAGATGTTTCACACCCTTGCTTTTAATTTTTTTAATTTTTTTTTTTTTGACGTTTTTGAGACAGGGTCTCCCTGTAGCCCCTAGAACTAGGTGGCCTAGAACTCGCTATGTAGACCAGGCTGGCCTCAGACTCACAGAGATCTACCTGCCTCTGCCTCCCAAGTTCTGGGATTAAAGGCATGCACTACCATGCCTGGCTCCTCACTCTTTTTAGTGGATTAATTTCAAGGTGTTTGAATTTCAGTTTTTCATTCCAAAGAAAGTATTATACTTTTCACTA